AATTGATATTTTTTGAGAACAAAATAGAAGAATATAGAAAATTAAGGGAAACACAAAATGTATTAGTTACACAAAAAATATGGAAAATTATACTCCCTCCATTCCAAATGTAATACATATAGATTTTCTAAAAAAAATAAACATTGTAAAGTTTGACCAAAACTATTGATAAAAATATCAACAACAATATACTTCTAAATAAATATAACATGAAAATATGTATATTAATCTATATAATGATATTGATTCCATATCTTATATGTTGATATGTTTCGCTACACATTTGTTTAAAGTTCATGAAGTTAGAATTTCCAAAATATCTATAGCCACTACATTGTGAAACAGAGGGGTATAATAAAAAAATCAATGCAAAAAGGAAACAACCCGGAGTATTTGGAAATAATAATCTGGGCAGTAGAATAGACTCGCAAATAAGTTATGATCATCGTAGAGATATACCATATTTAGTTATTGCTCATGAATGTTCCTTACACTTTTTGTGTCATTTCCACATTCCAATCTTATTGTTTTTACATAACAATTTTTTCCTTTTTTCAAAGGTATGCATTTTAATTGAAAATAATTTTTATTTCTTGAATTATTTCATTTTCTATTGATTGAGCTTCCACCTGTTGTCAGTGCCACATCATTTGTCAAGTTGCTTTCACTCACATGAAAGACCAAATCTGTCCGATTTTAAAAATAATGATAATCATTTTAGAGTTTTGGAATAAAGGAAATTTTCTTTTATGTTGAGAAAAGCATCCACTGTGATATAAAATATTCCCTAATTACTAATTTTGACAAAAAGATGTGAATCCAAACAGGCTGGCCTGCTTGGTCACACAAATTCTACCAAAGTAGTTTTAAGAATAGTTCTACTAAAAGACATATACTTAGCTCTAACTCGTGATTTCAATCTCTGGATTTAGAAATAATCCTGGCACACCGAAAGTTTAGAAATATCAGGTGAATTTTTTTAGTGAAACACATGCCTCCCCTCCAATTTCTATTAATAGAAACATCTGGTTTTGTTACAATTTTGTTTGATTTGATTTTCCAATTGACCAAAACGAAAGAACATCTTCAACTATAATGAAATCTAAGAAGTTTTTCTAAAAAAATAAATGAAATAAGACTGAATCAGGTTTCTATTTCTCCATTTGGAAGTTGTGTTTCCAGCAAAGGTCTCATTTTTGAAACGGAGGGAGCATATGACTTCTTGCCTTAAAAAGGTATAATCATCCATTGACACGGGTGATATCACACTGCCCCCAAGCCACCATTCATCCATCTATTTCATAAAACCGTTAGCATTAGTTGAGTGGTATCACCCCATTAGGACTCCAAATATTACAGTCGGCTGCAAGTATGAGCAAGCATACAACACACTCCTAGTAGTGCAGGGACGCAATTGATGCTCAGCAGGAGCAATAACTATATGAAAGTTGTGCATGTATGCAGACATATTTATCCGCACTGGAAACACGGGAGTTCAACGACAGCCTAGCTTGTCCTTCTTCTTGTTTTTGGTTGTGAATCCTTCCTCTTGTTCTTGTCTCCGTTCCTTTTCTTCTTCTTTTTCTACATCATTGATTTCCATTTTAATTCATAGGACATTATTTGTATGCTAAAGTTTTAGATATAAGCAATGGCGGTCACGAACATGAGTTTTTGTTTGTACATTTCTCAAGTGGGATTATAATTTCGTGGGGGATTTAAATTTACAAGGGTAATTAGATACAATGCCCTCCTCCTTCTTCACCTTCTTCTATCAATTTCTAGAAGGGTGTTGTGCTACATCCAGACCAGCTGCATGGTTTGGGTAAACTCTCAGGGGCACCCAGGGACATGCACACACATGCATGCAACCTTCAGATTGCTTTAAGATTCAAGAACATGTTTGGTTTAAAGCATTTGCTTACTTTATGCTGGGGTCCATCCATGCATGCTTTTGGTGGCTTTTGCCAGAGCTGCAATCGCCACTCACCCCACCGCCCATTCTTTTTCCATTTCATATTTTAATTTCAATCTACTATATCTTCCAAACTAAAAGTTTAAATTAATTTCGTTTGCATATTTGTGTTCATCGCGATGAGCATTTTCAAACAAGAACAATATTGAATACATTTAAAAAAATCAAGTTTCAAATTTTGAAACTTGATAGTCGTAACATTTAGTTTTACCATGTTTCATATTTTAGGTCTTTAGGGTTCTGGGCTTAGGGTTTATGGTTTAGGGGTTACGGTTTAATTTTAAGATTTTGAAACTTGCTAAATTTATTTACCATGTTTCATATTTAGTTTTACCATGTTTCATATTTTAGGTCTTTAGGGTTCTGGGCTTAGGGTTTATGGTTTAGGGGTTACGGTTTAATTTTAAGATTTTGAAACTTGCTAAATTTATTTACCATGTTTCATATTTAGTTTTACCATGTTTCATATTTTAGGTCTTTAGGGTTCTGGGCTTAGGGTTTATGGTTTAGGCGTTACGGTTTAATTTTAAGATTTTGAAACTTGCTAAATTTATTTACCATCGTTCCTATCAAGTTTTTGTAGTTGAAACCTGCCGGATTTGCCTCGTGATCTGCAAAGTCGTTTGATTCCACACGTTAGGAGTCCAAGTTTTAAGTTTCTGTTTCTGAAACTTGCGATTCAATCATTCGCTCATACAAAGTTTCCATGGCTAAGACTTAACATTGTTCTACAAACTCCTCAAAACATATTTAAAATGGATCTTATAAAGACCTCGTCACAAGAAACACGAATATGCAAATAAAAACATAAATTGGACTTTCGGTTCAAAAGATATAACAGATTCAAATTTGAAAGTTAAAGAAAAAAACATGGAATGTGGAATGGGTGAAGCTACCAAAAGCTACACGCATGGACTCCATCCAAAGTAATTAAGGGGTAAAGCCATGCAAAGACCAAACCAATTTCGAAATTGTGAAGCAATCCAATGGCCAAAATTTGTCTTCCGCATGGTTTTGCATGCATGCAACCTTGTCATATACATACAATATGCAGAGCTTTTTTTTTTGAACTCATACAATATGCAGAGCTAGGAGAAGGCTAACGCCCAACACCCCTCTCTTTACGTACCTGATCCATAGCAGGTGCTTATCATAATCCCACGCACTTGCCCACGAGAGCCCCTCACCGCACGATTTCCATCCACCGGTCAATAATAGTGGGGCACCGTACCCCGCGGGCGCCAGATCCTGACTCTTAAAAAGAACTCATGGGCTGGAACATTTTACCCGAAAAAGAAATATGTTGTTGCAAAGTAGTGACTGGAATTCTGGAAACTTCCATGAAACTCAGCTGCAGATAAGATCCATGGTCCTCTAATCCCGTTCGATATTGAACACGTCCTGATATGATGTCTCAACGTTCGGGTTGTTGGCATCTCGTATTCTCATCTTCGGAAGGCTGTTTTCACGTCGCGTTGTGACGGTAACGCAAGGCATGCGTCCCCACATGCATGACGGACACGTCTAGTCTAGTTAAGTAGATTAAGTAGGTCGTCGACTAATCAAATGCAAATGCAAAGTCGTTCTCGGTCGCTCGCTTCGCATGCAGAGGTGCATGCGTGAGGCTTTCTGTCTACGTGTACGTAATTAACCGATCGACGACCTAGCTAGCTAGCTAGGATTTTGTTGCGTTTCCGTGCCTGAATTGACTCATCATTTTGAAATTCACGCGTACCAGACGGACACACAGACATGGAGTACTTGTGTAGGTTGCAAAAAAAAAAAAACGTATTATATTACGGACCGAGGGAATAATGTATATTATTACTTACGTACTTAGGTTTTTCTACTACTAACTATGGTACTAACTCACTAACTCTAGCTGAATGCACTGGAGTACAATTCGAACCATGTGACATCAGCTCCAGTGCAGTTCAGGCTCCTTTTATTTGAGGGGTTGCAGTTCAGGTTCCTATACACCGGGAATTAAATTCCTGTAGGTAGCAGCCGTTCAGCAGTCAAATTAACGCATGGGCTGAGAGGCCGACCGTGTCAAAGTCTCACAACTCGCCAATATGTGCTCGTAATTACCAAAGTTAGATTATTTGACCATACTAACAAAAGCAGTTCCATGATTTCTAGTCTCACCAACCCTTTCCCCCGCTCTTTCCAAGTTCCAACGGCCCTGCATGCTGCCTATAAATAGTTGCCGCCACTGTCCGAACAAATCGTACAGCACAAAAACCGCAAGCAACGCACGCAACAAGGACTCGTTCGACATCGAAGCTCGAGCTAACCTTGGCAACGTGCTACAATCTCTCTCTTTCTCTCTCTGTCGGTGATCAAACGTGATCAACGTCGACCGAGCAACTACACCCAGCTGCAAGGTGCAAGCCAGCTAGCTAGCTCGACAGTTAGCAATGGAGGTTACGGTGTTGGGCTCCAAGCTCGTCAAGCCCGCCTACAATGCCGGCGCGGCGCCGGCACCTTCCACCGAGTACATCCCTCTGTCCATCTTCGACAAGGTGACGTTCAACATGCAGATGGCCATCATCTACGCCTTCGCCGCGCCCGCGCCCTCCACGGCCGCCATCGAGAACGGCCTCGCCACGGTCCTTGCCCAGTACCGCGCCTTCGCCGGCCAGCTCGGCGAGGCGCCCGACGGCACGCCGTCCTTCATCCTCAACGACCGTGGCGCGCGCCTGGTTGAGGCGACCGTGGACGCCGACCTCATCGACATGGCGCCAGCGAAACCCACGCCGGAGCTGCTCAAGCTGCATCCTGACCTGGAGGCGGAGCACGAGGAGGTTGTGCTGCTGCAGCTCACGCGGTTCCGGTGCGGCTCCCTCGCCGTGGGGTTCACGTCCAACCACGTCGTCGCCGACGGCCACGCCACCAGCAACTTCCTCATCGCCTGGGGGCGCGCCACGAGAGGCCTCCCCATCGGCCTCCCTCCCGTGCACCACCACAAGGACCTCTTCAAGCCACGGTCGTCGCCTCGCGTGGAGCACGACCACCGCAACAGGGAGTACTACCTGCCGTCGCCCACCGACGTCGTCGGTCACCACGGCAATGCCGCCGACAACATCGTCATCCATAAGGCGCACTTCTCCAAGGACTTCATCGCCGGTCTCCGAGCCAAGGCGTCAGAAGGGCGCGGCCGGCCGTTCAGCCGGTTTGAGACCATCCTCGCCCACCTCTGGCGCACCATGACACGCGCGCGCGACCTGAGCCCCGAGGAGACCACCAAGATCCGGCTGTCCGTGGACGGGCGACACCGGCTCGGCCAGCCGGCGGAGTACTTCGGCAACATGGTGCTTTGGGCGTTCCCGCGCTCCACGGTGGGTGACCTCCTCAACCGGCCGCTGAAGCACGCGGCTCAGGTGATCCATGACGAGGTGGCGAAGGTGGACGGCGCATACTTCCAGTCGTTCGTAGACTTCGCAAGCTCCGGCGCCGCCGAGAAGGAGGGGCTGGCTCGGAGCGCCGTGTGCAAGGACGCGCAGTGCCCGGACGTGGAGGTGGATAGCTGGCTGACGTTCCCGTTCTACGAGCTGGACTTCGGCACGGGGAGCCCGAGCTACTTCATGCCGGCCTACTTCCCCACGGAGGGAATGCTTTTCCTCGTGCCGTCAAACTTCGGCGACGGCAGCGTCGATGCCTTCGTACCCCTATTCCAAGAGAACCTCCAGGCGTTCAAAGAATGCTGCTATTCCATGGAGTAGGTGGCCTAACTGTTTATTTGCCGAAGAGACAGTGAGGCATACATTAGTTCATTCATTGAGAGGGTGGCAGGAAAAAATAATGTCTTTTCTTTTTTCTCTTTGAGAATTGAATAGTGCTACTGTGTGTACACAGATGTTATCTTGTACAAGTACGTAACACGAGTTTTCAGATAATTTTTTTCACTAGCAAAAGGGTCCGTGCCTTGTAATATAAGAAAATAAAAATAATCTGCAATAGCTATGACCACGTTTTGCTGCATCACCGAGATATACTATCATTCTTTTTCTTATTGATTGAGACATTCATTTTTTTTTAAATAACTACATACATTTCACAAAGAAGAAAGAAGAAGAAGAAGAAGAAGAAGAAGAAGAAGAAGATAATTGTATATACCTTGGCCAGAGTCGGTTACAAACATAGCCTGGACGTATCATCATCGAGAAACCGCGAGAGCCTACAGGTGTCCCAACAAAAATGCAAAAATACCCCCAAAGAAAAAGAAGATACAATCTGGTTCCGAAAGGCTTAACGCAAACCAAGCCAATACCACTTGCTAACCATCACCGCGGTTGAGACTAACAACAACCAAAATGTTGAAAGCCACCAAATCTTGAACCGAGAGCACACCATCGTCCGAATCAGTTTTCTGAGTCGAATATGAAGCCCGTAGCAAATGAATAGGTGTTCTGGCATGTTGACAGGGGATCAACACCGTGCATCTCCTTGGCTCCAGCTCCAACACCCCTCGGTCTGATGAAATCGAAGAAAAATCATCATATCTGCGGCCACAAGCCACCAACCAAATACCGGGCCACCAAATCTCCCACCGGCCGTCGCGGCCTCATAAGAGATACATGTAATGTATTTACGGACAATGTGCATGTCCGAAGTGTTACACTTCAAACATAAAAGCATGGAACGGCTTCTCCATGCATTGGATTTGTGTTGGTGTTAGACATAGACTAACAAAAGAAAAGGTGACATATTCATTCCCATCATAAATAGTTGACTAATTTAAATATCTAAATGACCTTTTGAGTTAATTAACCACATGTAAAGAGGCAATACCTTCATTAGTTACAGTATATATTATTGAGTGCCTAAAATCTTGAGGATCGTTCATTTATGCATAGAAACTAAGAAAATAGTTGAATAAGAAATTGATGTTTAATTCGTATAAGTTACCAAATGCCCATTCGTGATTACAAAATTTCATCTGGCCTTGTTTTCACATCAAGCCCTATAAAGCTTAAATATTACCAAATGTTCAGAAATTCTAAAAAGTTCATGTTTTCAATTTTTTTTAGAAATTTCAAGTTTTGTTCAAAATTTCAAAAATATTCTTGTTTATAAAAGTGTTTGGAATTTTCAATAAAATTCTTTTTTAATAAGAATTTAAAAAAAAACATTCTTTTAAAAAAATTCACAAAAATCAATTTTTTCGAGAGTGTAAAAAAAGATATGGATGTTTCAAAAATTGTTTACAATTTCAAAGAATGTATCCTCTTTCAAATTGTGTACACAAATTCAAAAAATGTCCTCATTTACAAAAAAAACTTCAGGAAATAATAATATGTTCCTATTTTTCAAAAATTGTTCACAAATACAAGAAAATATTCCCTCTTTTAAATTACTCACAAATCGAAGCATTGTTCGCATTTTTGAAAAAAAATTAATGTGTGTAAAAAATGATAACTAACAGAATTATTCTGAATTTTAAGACATGTTTAAAAAAAATAAATAATATTCCGATATACCCCGACAGTTATTTCTTGAAAATTTGCGCGGCTATATAGTCAGAAAGACTCACAAGCTCTACTATTTAACTATATGCCTCCATGAGAAATTTGTCTCTAGTTCTATTCCTTTGTAGCTCACAAATATTATAGGATTTTTTTTCACGGCCGTGCATGGCTGCTACTCCATGTGCCAGCCCAGGAGGGGCAATTCTCAAATGTATTTTGCCAGCCGTTATTATCTGGGCCGGCCCAGGTGAACAATATCGTGAAATTGTGAACAAGTTTTCAAAATCATGAACATTTTTTTAACTCGTGAACGTATTTGAAATCGTGATAATTTTTCAATTTCGTAAACAATTTTAAAACAATTCAGACATTTTCTAAAATCATGACCATTTACTGAATTTATGAACAATTTATACGATTTGTAAACACTTTTATAACAATGTCACAAAAATATCATATTTATTAAATGAAAAAAAATAGAATAGATGAACATTTTTTTAGAAGTTTCTGGAACAAAATTTTAAATTCTCAAACATTTTTTTATTTAATACAAATTTTTTGAAATGCATGACCATTTATTGAATCAACAGTCTTGTTATGAATTAATAAATTATTTTGTCATTCCCAAACAGTTTCTGAATTTTTAGCATATTTTCCAATTCATGAACATCTTTTGAATTTCATGAACGTTTTGTTCACTTTCATTAGCATATTTTAATTCACAAACTTTTACAAAATCATAAACATTTTTTATTTCCTGAATATATGCTTTTAAAATTGTGAATATTTTTTGAATGTGTGAAAAATAAGAAACTGCAAAAAAAATAATCCACAAAATTTTTATGATTTATAGAATACTTTATTTGAAAATTCTCGTTATTAGATTTTTTGAACTTTTTTGGTCACAAATTATTTGAAGTAGAAAAAAGAAAAACGAAAAAGAAAAAATAAAAGTAAAAAACAAAATTAAAAATCCAGGCCACCCGGACATGGGCCGGCCCAAACGGGAGCACAGTATAGGAGGTCCCTAGTGTGGGCCCGCCCATGCTGGGGATTCTCCTGTGTGATTTTTTTGTCGCTTATAAATGGCATTGGTGGGTAATATTTTACAATTTTGGAGGCAATTTCCGTGACGTACAGGGAGAAGCACTAATCACTTTATTAGTAGATATAGATTATACACCGATATACTTTATCCTAGCTACTGTGTTTATCAGACCTGAGCATTAAACTATAAAACCGCCGAGTTAATTGCGCAATATTCTAAAACCATTTAAAATAATTGGCTTTTAAAAATGGAATTGTATTATGTGCCTTACAGAAGTATTGATCATGGCTTATTTCAGCCTATTACTTTGTAGGAATCTCTCCGCACGAAAGCTGTTTCACATTCTGGAGTACATCCGAATATGAAATCACCCATCAATCCTGAACTCGGTTATTTTGTCAAACAATGGAAAAATCGTGAACATATGGTATTACGGATTGTGAACATGCAATTAATTGGCCACTGAAGGCAAATTTTAACATGGTTGCTCTTACCTCCTCTTTGAAAATGTGAGATAATAATATATAATAGATTGAGTCGTTGATTTTATTAAATAGTGACTCTAAAAAACGAAAATGATTCAGTTCGGGCTTTGCCCCCCGCCTGACCTTTAAAAAAGAAATGCCTTGGACTCACCTTGGACTCCCGGTGCCCCCATCGGTACTGCTAATCTGGGATGTCAGTGCTTCCTCGAGCCTCCACAACAACACCTGGTCTTTGGTGGCGCTCTCTGTTGTACGGAAGATTTGAGACTCGAGAAATTCCACGGCAATCCTTCACAAGAATCAGACCTCAACTTTAAATATTTCTCAGACTTTACGCTTAACAACATAGTTTCAAGGAACCACGGCAAGAGGTAACCACCATGTCAATGTAGCAACGCCTTTCCCGGAAGTGCTATTCTGAGCTCGCGCACAGGTGCGCTCGGTATCCTTCCTGCACGTCATTCTCGTGATCTATAATCCCACGTGTATAGGCACAGGTATTATTCTCGTATATGCGTGTATGAACAGTCGCACGGGCCCATGTCTGGCATAACGGGCTTGGTACGCCGTTTATCACCTAGGCTCCGGCTCAGACGTGGGCGCAACGTGGTGGGCCGTTACGATGCGGATTCTGAGCCCATGCCGACCGTTGTCTCATTTATTCTTCCGCACCACCGCACCCGCAGACCAATCTTCCTCCCCACGATTCGTTCCTCCACTTTTCTTCTCGTTGAGTATTTTCTTTGCCGAAACTGCATCCAGATTCTGCATTAGATCCAATTTTGTAATGCCTGACACTGAGAGAGATAGCAGGGTAGGAGCCATGGCAAGAACTCCCCTGTAGCGTTCAGACCCCTCTTCAGAAGAATGATGGAATGGCTCAACTGGTGCAGGCATACGCAGAGGAGTAGCTACCCCGCTGCTTATGTATTTTTCCTGCCCTTTTTTCCCGCTCTTGCATTTTGACCTTCGAATGGGATCGGCATAGCACAGGGCGCGGAGCCTCGCAGTCGCATGCACTTGTCAACAAGGCACATTGCTACCTGTCCACTGTTTAATTTGCATGTCCCATCTCATTAGGCAAACATAGCCAACCTCTATTTTTAAAGTTCGGTGAACAAGAATCATGTTTGTTGCAAAGGTAAGCGCAGTCGTCAGACTATATGAGCCAGGTTAGCAAACCAATGCACACGCATGTTCAGTCTGTCAACAAATAAGGATGAACTACCATATACCATATACTAGTACCTGGTGATCATACTGCCGAAACATTCAGAATGCATGACCATAATGCCAAACATTTCACAAAACAATACACCAGCAGCACGCATACTATCTTCAAAATCAGTTCGTAAATTCAGAATGTGCTTCCACGACCCTGCAAATTTCAGACTTGTCAGCACCACTGTTCGAAAATTTCAGAAAGCATGACCATATAGCCAACAAATTCAAATAAAATAACACAGCATCGTGTGACAGAGTTTCGTGTTTATTGTAAAACAAGCCATCAAGGCATT